CGATTTGTTGCTAATATACCAGGTTACAAGGTAGGCATTAAGTTTAGGTGTTAATATATTTCAACACTCACATAATCCGTTTCACTAATTGTTGTCGCATCAGTTGATATTCACACTCCAAAAAACTATTTCCTCTGTATCTGTTGTGAACATTATGGATGCAAAATGCTCTGCTCTTATAACTTCAGTTCTTTATTGTACTTCGATTTTCGAATGTCAATGTTTATTCTACAGGTTGTGGTGATCGACAAGAAGGGATACAGGCAATTACCTGATGTGAATGTTTGACTTGTGCATCTCATTCCTTAGCGGAGACTTATGATGATGTACTTGTCACGTGTTTTCTCTCATTTATTAATATATGTTCTTTTGTATGTAAACGTTTTTTTCTGTATGTGTTGTTGCATAAGGGTTTATTTTTATATGGCAAATTGCTACCAGTATAAATTGATAAGAAGCCGTATAGATTTCTAAAACACGCAATGACGTTGTTTGTACCTATTGACGGAGAAGTGAGCAGTAACTGGACTATAAATTTTTTATGCCATCTCCTTTAACAATTCTTTCCTTTTGTTCTCTATAAGTTCGGCGCCTTTTGTTTCCATAGCATGTTTGAGATCTAGAAGTAATTGACGCGTTTGTCGCTCTTCATCAGGCTTCGTCGAAGTTTGACTCGACTTCTTCTCAAATCGCACGTATATCTAAAGACCATGACGTTCATGTTTTAGTAGGAAACCGTATATAAATCCTTACGTCATTTAGGGCCTGTTTATATTCATTGAAAATTTTCCCTTTCGCGTCATGAGCCAGCTGTTCTCTCCGTTCTCGAGTCATTCTAGGTACTGGTAGATAGAGTACAACTCCCTCATGTTGAGGCGTTACATTGAGGTAAGACTTCTAGAAAAGATTTAGAATGACCAAGAAGATATTAAGAAAATAATATATTCGATCTCCTATGCTAGTGGTATTGAAGTGAAGTGTTCTACTTGTCTGAGGTTCGACTAATCGCCATCTTCATTAATAAAGTTCCGTTAAAAACCTACTGATGAAAGCGAAATTCATAGACAGCATATCGAATACACGCCAAGATTTCAGCAGTAGAAAAACACGCAAACTACCGACAAAAGATTAACTTCCTTCCGCTTTTGCAAGGAAAAGACTTGTTCATAAGCAAATGGATTTTTGAGAAAAAAAA